GGCGATGTAGCGATCACGTGGGTCTACATGTGATCACCAGCTCCGTCACGGTCGCGGCACACTCCCTGGTTACAGCGCGCCACTATGGCGATGTAGCGGCGAAAACTAACCGTGCATCACGTGCACAGCGCAGTAACCGCCCACACGGCACCATGCTTTAGTAATCCCAAAAGGAAGTACTAAAGCACGGTGCGGTAGCAACGTTGCCATATGGTGACACGTAGACACACTCATTAGGTATCATTAACACTTCAGATTTCAATGTAGATATTCAAAATACGGTGCAGTGTTCGGGTTATTTGGGATGGCAGAGCCCATGGTTCCCTCTCTCTCCTGTCATTAAAGAAACCGTTTTTCCTGTGCATGATCCATACATGATTAAAGCAACACATTAATATATGCATGACAGAAAGCTCTCTGACAGGCTGAAATGATTAGGATGCAAGCAAAGTTCACTGAGTGATGAATCTCATCAAGGCAGCTTCACCTGAAGTACCCAAGAGAAATTCCTGCAGCAGGCAGCAGGAGAGGGAGGGAAGGCCTTTACAACCAGCCATGCAACCCCGGTTGTTGGAGGTCAGCAGTGGATTATTAACCAAACCCCAGGGTAGCAGGGCAGGCCTGGCCTCTCCTGAACAGCACCTGCAGTACAGCAGAGTTGGGGCTGGCTGCTGAACTGAGTGGGCTGCCAGTATGGAAACGTGTCCATGTTGCTTAGCCTTATACTGCACCCAGGCCCTTTTTCTCAGGGAAGTGCCTGTTCAGGTGCACACAGTCATTTAGACTGATGTTCAAAGGAGCCCTGGGTTGAGGAGCGTGATAAAAGTCTGGGGGAATTATGCACCTCACCCTATCGGGCTGCTTGCGAAGAGCCAGCTCCCCCCCGCAGCGAGGAAGGGTGCTTGTCAGGTGAAAGCCCAGGGTTCAGTTCCCATCTCTGCTGCCCACTCTCCATCTGGCCTTGGACACGTAATTGTTAAGGTCGTGAAGTACCTGAAGAGAGGCTCAGAGGGGAATTCACAGAGCACCGAGGCACCTGCTTCCCAACAAGAATGGCAAGGGGAGTCAGACGGGCGATGCATCTTAGGGCCCCTCAACACCTGTCAACGTCTGTCCCTTGATATTTTTGAGCCTCAAACAGGGAGTAACAACTCTCCCTTCCTTTGTCTGTCTTGTCTAAGTCTCCGAGATGGGGACTTTCCCTCCCTGGGCATGTTCGCAGCAAGTGGCACACCTGGGCTTACAGTACTACAGCCGTGCGTTACCCACACGGCTCAGATCACTCGAGAAAACAGTTCATTTCCCAGCTTCAGTGTCAACCTCAACTTAAAACCTCACACAAGAATGGGCAGGTGTGTTAGGGCCAACTTCACAGTGTCTCCGGTGCAAATCTGACCTTGTAGGAAAAGGACTCTGCGTGGGGCTGCACAGACACAGCCGGTGTTGCCAGCGGAAGCTGCTGGAGCTGCAGGTCTGGGCCGTTTCCTCCCTCCATTTTGGTTCATTTGTGCATCTCTTCCGCTGCCTTTGCAACCACAACTGCTGCTTAGAGAAGAGACTCGGACACTGCTGCCCCTTGGCCCATCACTTTGCACCACCTCTTCCTGTCCATCTTGCCACGCCTGGACAAAGGACCGGCCGGTCAGCAGAGGCAGGGCATCCCCATCTGCGCCCGCTCCTCCTTTGCACAGCTGAGCAGAAGTGGGCGCCTCAGTCCTTGCAGGAAAGGGGTGCCTCACTCCAGACGAGGCATGGATTCACCCTCATTTCCAACGAGTCAATCTCGTGGCAGTTTATATTTCCTGAGATGACATTTTAGACACTAGAAGAGATTTCAAAGGAAAAAGCAGGTAACTCAATGACTAACAATCACATTTGCTCTGAAATTCTGGCCAAGAATACCAGGAAATCTCTGGGCTCATACGTGATTCCCTGTGATCAAATTAATTTCCACATAGATGAAAGCTCAGTGGTCCAGGATTGTATTGGAAGACGCACATGCCTAGAAATGCACCAAGCGCAGTTTATCCAGCCACACAAACCAGACTGGGTCTGAACGGTGAACTTTCTCTAGGCTGACTTTCAGTACTAAGATTTTCCTGCTCAAGAGGCCTATCTGAAAAGCCTGCTGTTCTCCAAGCCCTGTTTTATCCTTCCCTAACATCTAGTGACCTTGGGTGATCGACCCAGAACAAACACCTAATCTCTACCATCCTAGGGCCACCAGCCTGCAGGAGAAGGCTTTCAATGTGCCTTTTATGCAAACCATTTATTCAACCTGAAGCGGAGGCTAAGGGGTAGGGACCCCTGGAAAACATCTCCCCTGGCACAGGCAAGCCTTCAGGAAGCACCAGCTTTAACAATGCCAAGGCAGGATTCAGAGTAAATGGAAAAGAGTCAATGAATCACAAAATATAAGTACATTGGGAACTCTCAGAAGAGCCTGAAGGACCAGAAGGCTTTCATCCCGCACACACTTGCACACGCATGTGCATCTGCTTGCTATAGATGGGAAGATAGGAGTGACACTCTTTTCATAGGAGTGACACCTGCTCTTGCTTTGCTCTGATCCTGCGCCTGTTTTCATCCCTGGCAACACTCCCACTGACTTCGGTGTCAGCAGGATCGAGCCCTGACAACTGCAGGCTCCCTCGAGCAAGACGAAACGGTCCTTCTGAGAAAAGGAGGCACAGAGTTAGGGACCCGATTCTCCGAGGGGCTCGGCACCCCTCAAAATCAGGATCTACATGAACACGAGCCAGCCACCCGCCTCAGCCTGCTCAAGCAAGCGCAGGGTTGCGGTTTCTTGTAAAAATTAAATCGCTACCCAGTTGCGAGAGAAATCCGGAGCTGATCTCGCCGGCCAAGAAAGTTCTTTCATGTCACTTCCTGCTCGAGGCGGCAGCCCGCTCTGAGCACCGACAAACGAGGCGGCGGGGGGGGGTTGAGCAATAATATCCCGTGGCAAAATAATCCAAGCAAGGCACGTAACACAAGCGCAGAGGAGCGGGAAGGAAAAAAAAGGAAATTCATGAACTTCCTCCAGCCCTTGCAAAGTCATGTCAGTCGTTCGCCCACTCCCAGCTGCAAACTCACCCCTGCTCACCACGGACCCCGGCCAACTCCTTGCCCCCAGACGTGCAGATTTACCCCAATTGCTTGTAATGTTTTTTTCCAGCTGAACTTACATCTCCGGCCGGCTGCAGTGGTTTGTGTTTTGCTCTTTCCGAGGCCCTGCAATTTGAGCCTGCACCTGCCAGTCACCTGCCTGGGCGCAGGGCAGATGACAGCGACTGGCTGTTTGGTGGCTGCCGCAGCGCATTGGCTGGGCAGGGTAAAGCTTGTTTGAAGTGCACAGAGCCGAGGATGCGGAGAAGGGAAGCAGGTTTTTGTGGGGTGGCCTCTAGTGGCTGCAGTTTCGCACTGAGCAGAACCCGCTTCTGTGCCGAATTGACAAGGAACCGGCTTCCCTGCAAGCGGCCAAGCCACCTGGGCACGTCAAACCAGCAGCGCTGGGCCCATCCCCACAAAACCAGGCAGTGTCCTCTGATGGGCCTGGTCCTGCGTGATGCTGAGCGCCCGCGCAATCCGCAAAACCAGCGAGAGATGCCGGCCTCAGCACCGCTCCTATTGCAAACTCCTATTGCAAACTCCTTTCATGGGGCTGCTTTGGATTTAGTCTCCGGTGCCGCTGAGCAGAAAGGCTTCTGCTGGCAACGGCAATCATCACTTTTCTAATTAAACGTCCCCAAAGTGTTGTTATCCGATGCCTCTTCATGTCAGGCACTGCGTTGCAGGTTTTCACTGCCCGGGCCACATTTTCAACCAAGCTGAGGTCCCAGATGAGGAGGCGATTATTCGTGAGGGGCATGCGACTATGGTCAAGGCACTCCAGAGAAAGGCAGAGGTGCAGATTCGCCTATAAAAGCCCAGACAGAGACGAGGCCTGTGGGATCTCCACCCCAAAGCCTAAGACGACCTGCGGGCTCCCCAGAAGGACTTTCTGAATGCCTGGCTGGAGGGAGACACTCTGCCCTAGGGATGACATAAGACTCATGCATGGCTTTCTGTTGTCTTTTGGGCTTATTATAGGAAAGAACAGTAAATAAATAATAGATAAATAGCCTCTGGCTTCTTTACTATTCCTTCCATCCCGGAAGTGCGCACACACCAACTGCAGATGCTTCCTCAGCCTGACGAAGGGCGTTTGTACCCAAAAGCTTGCAAAGAAGAATTTCCCCAACTATTTGAGTTGGTCTAATAAAAGACATCAGATTTACCCAAAGAACCTTGTCTGGTTTATTATATTGCATTTTCGATAAGACTAAATTGTGTGCAATGTCACTGTGCGGGACTGGGCTGCGTCTTAGTGTAGGTGAAGTTTTCTGTTGTTCTTTGTCGCATGCTTGCAGTCGCCCATCGCTGCGCTCAATCAATGCTCTCTCCAGAAAACGGACTCTACTCATCCGAGCGTTCGTTAATTCAGTGCCGCTACCTAAAGTCTGCTATTGGAAAATCCAGCCCCCGTTTGGATCCTGAACACTGGCTTATTCGTACGGCAGTAGCACCAAGAGGTCCCAAGCAAAATCAGGGCTGCATTGCCGCAGGGCCTGCGTAGATATTTAATGGACACTAATGAGATTGCAAATCTAAATAGCCCAGGAGCCGGAGAGGGATGGAGGTGGGGTGTGTTTGCAAGGCTGGGAGTGCACCACATGCTGGACACGGGAGCAGGCCGGTTCCCTGCGGCCCAGCACAGAGCACTCCTCACATGCAGGGCAACCCCTCCGTCCTGCAGCCCCTGGCACCTGAACCCCTGCAGCCCCAGCTACCTTAAGACGCATGCGCAAACAAGACCGCCCCGAGCCACCTTAACCAGCAGCGAAGCCTAACCTGCTGACATCAGTCCTACTTTCAAGCTCGGTTTCCGCCACCCTGGAACACAGAGCGACCCGCGATGAATTTGAATGCCCACCTGTGATTGGTCAAGGATAGAATGCGCGAGGATTCCGAGTATTGTGACGGCCGGTGGCGGGTTCTGCTGTTGCCCCGGCGACCGGATGTAAACTGTCTCCGCGTTCCATCCGGCGGGCGCGGGAGGCAGGTAGGCGGGGGGCGGGGCTGGGCTCCCTGCCGCTCTCCCGGGGCAGCGGGGAGGGAGCCCGCGGCAGTGCCCCGCGGCCGCCCCGCTCCGCCCTTCCCCGCCACCCCGTAGCGAGGTCCCACCTGCCCCGCAGGTTCCCGGGGAGGCTGCACATGAACCTCCTTTCTGGTCTCCATCTCCCCCCGCCCCGCTTCGCCCCGGGCATCCCCATCCTCTCTCCGCAGGGGACAGACGGGGGGACCTAGGTGCATTACAGGAGCCCCCGCCTGCAGCCTTCGCTCACCCAAGTAGGATCATGGAAAATGAGGGTTAGGAGGTCACATCTAGTCCAGCCCTCTGCGCCAAGCAGGACCAGCCCCAGCTACATCATCCCAGCCAAGGCTTTGTCTACCCGGGGCTTAAACACCTCCAAGCATGGAGAGTCCACAGTCTCTCTGGTGAACCTGTTCCAGTGCTTCACCACCTTCCTAGTGAGAAAGTTCTTCCTAATATCCAACCTCAACTTCCCTTGCTGCAACTTGAGCCCATTGCTCCTTGTCCTGTCGTCTGCCCCCACCGAGAACAGTCCAGCTCCATCCTCTTTGCAACCCCCCTGCAGGGAGTTGAAGGCTCCTATCAAATCTCCTCTCTGTCTTTTCTTCTCCAGAACAAATAACCCCAGCTCCCTCAGCTTCCTCTCACAAGTCACGTGCCCCAATCCCCGAACCATTTTTGATGCCCTCTCTCCAACTTGTCCACATCCTGTCTGTAGTGGGGGCCCCCAAACCATAAAATGACCATAAAATTAATATGATCCACCAGTGTGATGCTACAGTCAGCAGAGCAAACAATATGCTGGCGTGCATCAACCGATGCATCTCAAGCAAAACGAAGGGAGTTATTCTCTTGCTTGACTCGGCATTGGAGAGGCTGCAGCTGGAGTACTGTGTCCAGTTCTGGGCACTGCACTTCAAGAAGGATGTGGAGAAGGTCCAGAGAGTCCAGAGAAGAGCCATTCGTATAATTAGAGGCCTGAAGAGCAAGCCATATGAGGAAAGGCTGACAGATACGGGACTGTTCAGCCTAGAAAAGAGAAGACTTTATGGGGATTTGGTGGCATCTTACAAATATATCGGGGGAGAGCATCAGGGCTAGGCAAACAACTTCACCAATGCGCCCCAGGGACAAACCAGGATCAATGGTCATAAATTCCTAGAAGGAGATTTCAGACTGGATATAAGGAAAAACTTCTTCACCATTTGTGTGACCAGACTCTGGAATAGACTGCAGGCACATTCCTTGGAGATCTTCAAAAGGAGACTGGACGCACACCTCGCTGGGGTTATTTGACCCCAGCTGTCTTTCCTGCTCAGAGCAGGGGGGCTAGACCTGATGATCTCACAAGGTCCCTTCCAACCCTAACCTTTGGTGAATCTGTAAAAACTGGACACAGAACTCCAGATGTAGCCTCACCAGTGCAGAATAGAGGGGAATAATTACTCCCCTCAGTCTGCTGGCAGTGCTCCTACTAATGCAGCCCAGTATGCTGTTAGCCTTCTTGGCAACAAGGGGACACTGCTGACTCATATCCAGCTGATGAGCATCACAGAAATTGGTTGCAGGGAGTTGGGGAATCCCTCCTAGTGAAGGATTCTGTATAGAACAGCAGCACAGAGTGGAAAGGAAGTCCCCATTGTTGGTAAGCTTTGCCATTCCAGTCTCGTGTTGAACTTGTAGCCTCTTTGGACTCTAAATCCACCTACATTTTTATATTTCTGACCGGTGTTTTAGAAACAAAATGGTGAGCCACCGAAGAAGAGTCACTCCTGCTGTTGGAGCAGTAGGTAGTGTGTAACATGGAAGCCTGCTCTGAGAGCCTGCCTCAAGCTTCCAGCATTGAGAGAACATACCCTGGGCACACTGGAAAAGTGTTCAAAGGTAGAGTACCACGAACTAGAACAGTGTCTCAATAGCTGCTTCGTTTGAGGACAGGAAAATATAGCTATGCAAATGTCATCTTTTCAAAGCACAGCGGGGAGCCAGTAGTGAAGCTGATCAGTAGAAAGTGATATCCAGCACAGTTTATATCCACAGCCAGTTTCAGTCATTTCAGGCTCCATTTCTGCATTGCTGTCTTTGGGCTGTTTAGACTACTGCAAAGTGAATACAGCTACGGTCGTGAAGCAGACAAGTCACTGGTGCTTTTTCCATGATGCCATTTAATGGTGCTCAATCAATTTAGGAGTAAAAGCATCAGTGGCTGCTGGGGTCCGTCAGCTGTAATCCCTGACCTCGTTGTAGATGAGGTGTTAGATCCCAATGCTGGAAAGCACTGGCTCTCTACCATGAGGTACTGAGCAACCTAAACTGTCACTGAGATCAATGGGAAGTAAAGGTGACAGCATCTTCCAGGATATGTCCAACCTTTCATACTATTAGCCCTCTGTGGTGGGCTAAAAAAATGCCTGATTTAAGCATGCCTCTTAGTAAGGCTTTCTATTACATGCTGTAGTAGTGACTTTGCAGCAGTTCCCAAAGCCTGATGTCAGTCCTGAAGCACCATTCAGCAATGTTTTTTTTCTTCGTACCATAAATAAAACAGGGACATTACATGCAAAACCAAATGCTGATTTCCTAACCTAAACACGTCCTTAATGTTAGATTTGCATTTAATTGATGCATCCTACAGAAAATGGAATCTGGTGCTGTAATTACATGTTTCCCATATCTGCATATTCAGGATCTTGTTTGATTAACTCTACCTTTTAGGTTATACAGGCCCCACCGTTCCCTATAAACACAATGCAAGAGTGATCCCAAACTCAGAAAAGAAGGGGTTTAATTCTCAAGCAAAGAGATTTCAGTATAACAAGGTAGGTTAATTAAAATGTTTGAGATGTACGACTTTTGCTCTGAATTTTCTATTTATCTCTGACTGATCTCATCCTGTAACTGAGCACAGAAGCTTGGTTGGGACAAACTGGATTTGCTTGCTTGTATGCTTGATTTATATAATATTCTGTAGATTGGTCATGAGGGAATACAAAATAGCAAACAGCAAAGCAAAAGAGAAGAGTTAGAAATGAGCTAGGAAACGAGTTTTCTTTAGTGAAACGGAGCAATATGTT